CCTAATTCTTATTAAATCGAGCAAAAAGAAAATGATTTTTATAACATTATAAAATCGAAATATCTTTTAATGCACTGCACGAATAACTTTATAATAATAACATTATAAAATCGAAAAATCTTTTAATGCACTGTACGAATAACTTTCTATTTAGGATTTGTTCTATGTATGCAATCATATTTGTATATGTTTGGGATCTCAAAAAATCGAATGTTGTCACGACGAGATAGGTCAATTTTTATAAATTCAATATTTATTACTGATATGTAACGTAAACATACAATACAATGTATGAACATAGTTTTGGATTTCCGCGTCGATCAGCATCACAGTCATCACGAGAAAGCCGAATATGTTTTCGAAATTACCAGTAAATTTCTTTCTGTACGTTGCAACATACAAAAAAGGAATTGTACTCGACTACTAGAGCATTTATCGACATTTGGCGACTGTTATACATACAATCGCTCGCATTCGAAACATATTTGTGTTATCATCCGTTCGATCAATCAAATTTAAAAATATTTTATATAATATTTTGTGTTATAATTAAAACAAATTGTATTAAAATAAATTATTATTGTGTGCGGGATTAAGAATGATAACGAAGGAGAAATCAGCATTTTGAAAAAATAGTTTGATTATATCGAATAGACGACCATGCAATAATGAACTTAGCAAATGACATTGGTCGCAAAAATTCGCAAAAAAGCACATATCAGCTGCTTTCATGAGAAAGTAGTTGTTGTTGAAAATTAAGGCGCAGTTATGTAAATATTACTCAAAAATTCACATTGATAGTATGTGATCTTTGTCGATAGGCGATTAAAAAAGATTGAATTTTTTTCTTACCAAAAACTAAATAAATTATTTTAAAAATGATGATAAAGTATATAATAAAAGGTGACAATAAAAGATTTTCTACATATCATCATTAAGAATAATCATTTTCTAAATGAACGATAGCGTTTTTCACCAAAGCAAATCCTAATTGGTGTCCTTCCATATCAAACTCAGTGTAGAAACGGCGAATAAATGGCATGCCCAGAACCCATTTTACATTATATTTATATGTTGTCTCGAGTTTCCAGAAGACGGTTATACATGTACTTTTATTATCTGGATTCTGAGCAGAATTAAATACACGATATAAACTTTTCTTACACATATTTAAATAATTTAAATAATTTTCTTATGGCACTTACCCGAATCATATACTCTTCACCGTTAAGATCGAATTCTTTACCACGTATTTTAAACGTTACGAAAGGTAAATACTCAATTCCACGGCAGGTTTTCTTTAAATAAAAGATAATATCAGATCAGCAATTAATCACATTTAGAATATATGTATTTCGGAAACAAGAAATAACGTTATTATTCCATAGAAATTAATGTTTCATTTGAACATACCTAATATTTATTTTTTTATCGCTATTATCAATTTTTTATAATTTATTTTTCTCTATCGAAGATTACGTGCTTTGTGAAAGATATAATTACTTGAAAGATATTGTTTACTTACATATATATTACTTAGAAAAAGTCGATTAATAGCTGAGACATCCTCTTCTGGACCCATTATTTTCCAAGTACTCGTGTCAATGATAGCTTGGCAGCCTCCCCGGCACCATTCATAAGTATTCCCCCTAACTTGATTCATTTCGATACTACAAAGCGGTGACATTAACAATTTGTTGAAACATGATTAATGTAATTTAAAAAATAACGTACCGATCAATGGTAAATTGCCAGTATCCTCTGCGAGTAACAGGAACATATGCAAGAATTTGTTTGTAATAAGCTGAATCGAAACCACCAAATATCAATTTACCACCTAAATCGGCTGAAGAGCTTCTGCAAATTATGTTCTTTATATTGCAATATGTATGAGTGTGATAATTAAAATTAAGTATATTTAATGTGTAAATATAAATATTATTTTAATTTTAAAAAATCTCGTTTAGATAAGTATACGATATGCATATAGGTAGAGAAGATATGTACCTATTTAGATAAATACTGAAAGCGCGTGGTGCCACTAGCCACTGATCAATCATGTTCTGGAAGACAGAAAGTGGTTCGAATGTTTGTTGATAGCTCAGGCCCAAAATACCATCATATTTTTGGTCAGATATATTTGAGTACGATTTAAATATATGTTTGTTTGGCATGCCGGATATGTTTACCACTTCTAGAATTACTTGCCTCTCCACATTGATGTCGGCAATCTACGATAAAATTTGTATTGAAATAATACATCGTACATTGCTACGCAAAGAAAAGAACACGATTGCTTAAGTAATGTTTAAACTATTATTTTAGTTATAATTAAATTAGAATGTTTATTTAATAATAACTTACTTTCACTGTACCCATAGATAGGAATCCTGTTACATTGTAATCGTGGTATGGTACATGAAATATTCTATTATCTACTATATATGGGTTGAAAGACGAACTTCGACTACGTGCCACTGTGAAGCATATTCAGTAATATCGAAAATTAGAAATATTTAAAAAATTTTAAAAATATGCATAGACATATTATCTTATTAATTTATAGTAAATATGCAACATGCTTTTGTAAATAATTATTTATGTTGTATATATACATGTTTTTATCGAATTAATTTATAAATCATCTTCATTTATCAATGTTTGTTTGTATCTTCAAAAAGTGAATGTGATAAATTATTCCAATTAATTTAAACATTTTCAAATTCCAAAGTTTGCCATTGTAATATTTACACTATAATATTAAATATTACTAAAAATTTAAAATAAATATGTATCTGTGTAATATTCAACTTTTTAAATCCCAAGGTTATACTTGAAAAATATAATTGTAGATAGAATATATATATATATATATATATATATATATACATATATATATATACACAATTATATTTATATATATATACAATTATATTTTTCAAGTATAATCTTGGGATTTAAAAAGTTGTATATTAGACAGATACATATTTATTTTAATTTGTTAGTAATATTTAATATTATAGTGTATATACCTATATATATATATATATATATATATATATATATATATATATTCGCGGATTTAAAAAATTGAAGTTTAAGCTTATCTAAGATCGATATTGATGAAATAAAATTTATTTAATAAATTAAAAGTAAAAGCATATACATATACTTGTATATATAAACGATTTACTTACAAGGAACAGGATTTGTGGAGAAATTTTTGGGAAATATCCGAAGATATTGGGAAGTAGTATCAAAAATAACTTTAACTTCTTTCGGTGGATTTCCAATTTTAATAGTGCCATAATAAGTCACGTTGTCGATATTGGTCAAACGTACTGAAGGCAAAGGTCGAATTGAACGAACTTTTTGCAACTTGCGGTCAGCGCCTTCATGTAAATTTGAAGGAAGATCCATCTCGGGCCAAAAGTTTGGAAATAAAATGCTTAAAGTAACATAAAAAACATTCTGTGAATGCACATATATTTAATGACCTCCAAAGAGATTTATGTATTTAATGACCTCCAAAGAGATTTATGACGGTTATCGTTTAAATAGAGATAAAAGCAAGATAGACGTTACGAAAGAACGATGAGTCACTCTATCAAAAATATTCTTATTTTATTTACTTTTTGACTAATAAATAAAAATATACGTTTTTACCAAAAAATTTTATCTAATTTGTATTGAAGTATTAATTGCATTTGCTCAAATTACGCATTTATCCAAGAAATCGGATACGAGAAAAATTCGATTTTTATAATTTCAATATTTATTATGCCAATATATAATATAATAAAATATATACTGACTTTTGTATTTGTGCGTCAATCGTCATATAGAGCACCGTCACTCCCACAAGAAGGCAAAACATATTTCAGATTTAATTTACTGCTGAAGTCTCGATTCCTAAAATTTTCAACAACAACTATCTTTCGACACTTTATGATCACATAAAGCAGATAAATAAAGTGTGTCGTTTACTACTAACTCTCCCTTAACACTGTATCGGTATTCGATAGCGGTATATATATACGATCACGCGTGTCCCTCTGTTGAATGCTTAAATAGGTAGAGAACGCGCGAAACATTCGAAAAATCCTGATGGAATTCCATCGATAAATTTAATTTAAATATATCATATTTTGCATGATCGCATATTCTTAATTAACGTTTATTTATATAAATTTATGATTAATAATAGAAACAATTCTTTCGAAAGAATACATTTATAACGACTAAACTGACAATCATGCAACATTAATTTAACAATAGAAAGTTTGGAAAAAGCAGCATTTAATTAGCCGACATTTTTTTATATAATTTTGTGCGGAAAAACTATATTTATGTAATTATAAATTACCTTTTTGATGAATTTTTGAGGTTTTCAAAAAGACAAGAAAAAATACATAATCTTGAAATATATATTTGAATATTTATTAATTTCAAAAATTTTCTTATAAACAATTTGTTATGTTAAATTTGAGATAATATTAATATGAATATTTAACTCAAGATACTGTACAAAACTTAAAAACCTATACTATGTATGTCTTACTTCTATTATATATAATTCTATTATACATTTCTTTTAGCATATATTATGTAAATTTGACAAAATGTAACAATATGAAATATTTTGTGAAAGAAAAAATGGATATCTAATAAGGTAATACTTTTTTATTAAAAATGTGTCATTAATTTATCGAAATAAGATAAGTTTCAATAATGGGAAGGATTATATTATGATGATAACTTCAATTGCATTGTAAAAATCAACATATAATAAGATAACATATAACAAGATAAACGAATTATACAATAAAAATGTGTCATTTTTTCATTGTAATTTTATTATTAGTCTCTTTGCTAAATTAGTCCCGATTTAAAAAATTTAATAATATTGATATAATTCAAACGTATATAGCATGTATATATAAATATATATTGTAATTAACATTCATAAATAATAATAACATTATAATATTTATAATCAATTTGTTTTAAATAACATTATAATATTTATAATCAAATTATTACAAATTTGATTGAAACAGGCATCAGCGATAATCCGAAATATCTAAATCTGATGGATAATGCTTACTTGTTACAATATAGATATCGTTCATAAAATTATTCATAAGCAAATGCATAAGCAAATGAACAAAGCTAATATCGATTTTTCGATCTGCGAACGCAATCGATTCCAGTATTCCTGATCTACGCAAGTATTTGAAAAAAAATGACCGAGATATTTTCTTTTAGTTGGATGAAAAAAAGTGGAACATATTATCGCTCATTTATCACCACAATCTCTAACAATTTATATAATATAATAAATCAGATAAAACGCGCTTGTCGTGTTCAACATCAAAATCGCAAATATGCATTTAAAAACACATGATGCATAATACAAATAAAATCCAGTCGACAAATCGATAATCTAATGCGGTTTGGAAATATTTTATATTAAAACAAGATTATTTTAAAGCGGTGACAACGAGCTATTCTATCATGAAACGGAAGCATATTAATTCTTGTTCACATACGAAGATGTAGGAAGTTAAACGGGAAAACTTTTGAAATTTTTTATCCGCAAAAATGTTATATTTACGAGAGCGCTTCAAGATTAATTTTACTAGATCCAGTGTAATCATTTATCTCCAATTCTTATTAAATCTAGCGAAGAAAAAATGATTTTTATAACATTATTATAAAATTGAAAACTTTTATTGCACTGCACGACATAAGTTTTACATAAGTTTGGGATCTCTGAAAATCGAATGTTGTCACGACGAGACAGATCAATATTTATAAATTCAATAATTATTATACTGATATGTACGTAAACTTACAATACAATGTATGAACTTAGTTTTGGATTTCTGCGTCCGTCAGCATCACAGTCATCACGAGAAAGCGGAACATGTTTTCGAAATTTCCAGTAAATTTCTTTCTGTACGTTACGACATACAAAAAAGAAATTGTACTCGTCTACTAGAGCTATCATTTACATTGACATTTGACGGCCGTTATATATACAATCACTTGCATTCGAAACATAACCTTTTTTATTGATCATTTTTTCTATCGATCAATCAAATGTAAAAATATTTTATTTAATATTTTGTATTATAATTAAAACAAATTGTTTTAAAATAATTTATTAAGTGTGCGCGTAATTAAGAATGATAATGAAGGAGTAATCAGCTTTTCGAAAGAATAGATTGATTATATCGATTAGACGGCCATGCAACAATGACCTTAGCGAATGCAATTACTCGCAAAAATTCGCATTCCAAATAACTATAAGCCCATATCAGTTGCTTTCACGATAAAATATTGCTATTGAAAATTAATACGAAGTTATGTAAGCATTACGCAAAAATTCACATTTATAATCTGCGAACTTTGTCGGTTAGCGATTAAAAAATTAAATTTTTTTTTAATCGAAAATTAAACAAATAATTTAAAAATTATGATAAAGTACACAATAAAAAGTGAAAGTGAAAGATTTTTTATACATTTTGATAAATTCTATACATTTTTCGCAAAAGCAAATCCCACTCGGTTTTTCTCCATATCAAATTCGGTGTAGTAACGACCCATAAATGGTATGCCCAGAATCCATTTCATTTTATCGTCGTATATTAGGTCGTGTTTCCAGAAGACGGTTACACATATACTTTTATCATCTGGATGCTAAGCAGAATTAAATACACGATATAAACTTCTCTTATACATATTTAAATAATTTAAATAATTTTTTTTTAGCACTCACCCGAATGATATAATCTTTACCGGTAAGATCGAACGCTTTACCACCCAAATTAAACGTGATTGTAGGTAAATGAAAAATTCTACTGCAGTTTATCTTTAAATAAAAGATAATATCAGATTAGCAATTAATCATATTTAACGAATATACGTATTTCGGAAACGAGAATTAACGTTATTGTTCCATAGAAATTAATGTTTCATTTGAACATACCTAATATTTATTTTTTTATCGCTATTATTAATTTTTTATAATTTATTTTCGTCTATCGAAGATTACGTGCTTTGTGAAAGATATAATTGCTTGAAAGATATTGTTTACTTACACTTCCATGTGAATTAATTTCAATTAGTCGATTAATAAGTGAAACATCCTTTTCTGGTCCAATTATTTTCCAAGTACTTGTGTCAACATTTGCTTGGCAGCTTTTCTCGCACCAAGTAAAATTATTTAGTCGGATACTACAAGTCGATGACGTTAACAATTTGTTGAAACATGATTAATGTAATTTAAAAATTAACGTACCTATCAATGGTAATTTGCCATATTCCTCTGTGAGTAACAGGAACATATGTAAATTTTCCTTCGTAATAAGCAGGATCGGAACCACCGAATATAAATTTACCACCTAAATCGGCTGAAACGTTTCTGCAAATTATGTTCTTTATATTGCAATATGTATGAGTGTGATAATTAAAATTAAGTTTAGTTAATGAGCAAATATAAATATTATTTTAATATTAAAAAATCTCGTTTAAATAGGTATACGATGCTTATATGTGAAAAAGATATGTACCTATTTAGATTAAAACTGAAAATACGTGATGACACTAGTCTTTGTTGAATCATGTAGTCGAAGAGAGTCCTTATTCCACCGTATATCTGGTAATAACTCAGGCCAATAACACCATATTTTGGTTAGTATATTTAAGTACAAATTAAATATATGTTCGTCTGATATGTTTGCCACTTCTACAAATGTTTGCTTCTCTACATTGATGTTGGTAACCTACGATAAAATTTGTATTGAAATACATCGTCATTGCCGCGCAAAAAAATAACACGATTGCTTAAGAAATGTTTAAACTATAATTTTAGTTATAATTAAATTAGAATGTTTATTTAATAATGACTTACATTCTCTGTATCAGTAGATAGGAATCCTGTTACATTGCAATCGAGGAATTGTACATTAAATGATGTGTTATTTGGTATATATGAGTTGGAAGACGTATTATATTGACTACGTGCCGCTGTGAAGCATATTCAGTAATATCGAAAATTAGCAACATTAAAATATTTTTTTAAATGTGCATAGATATATTCTCTTTTTAATCTATATGAAATATACAACATTCTTTCCTAAATAATTATATATATTGTACATGTACACGGTTTTATCGAATTAATTCATAAATCATCTTTGTTTATCAATGTTTGCTTATATTTTTAAAGTTTGAATGTGATAAATTATTTCAATTAATTTAAACATTTTCAAATTCCAAAGTTTGTCATTGTAATATTTACAGTATAATATTAAATATTACTATAAAATTAAAATAAATATGGATCTGTATATATTCAACTTTTTAAATCTCGAGATTATACTTGAAAAATATATTGTAGATAAATATATATATATCGGATTCAAAAAATTGAAGTTTAAGCTTAGATCTATGATCGATATTGATGAAATGAAATTTATTTAATAAATTGAAAGTAAAAACATATACATGTACATGTATATATAAACGATTTACTTACAAGCAACAGAATTTTTGGACTTTTTAGTAATTATCTTAGTATATAAGGAATTGGTATCAAATACAACTTTAAATTTTTGCTGTGAAGTTCCCAATGCTAATAGTGCTATATAAATCACGTTTTCGACGTTGGTCAAACATACTGATGTAGAATTATAATCTAAAGGAACTCTTTGCAATTTGGGTTTATTTATACGCGGCCGCCTGAGATAATCCCTTGAAATAACATAAATAACATTCTGTGAATGCAGATATATTTGATGACCTCTAAAAAAATTTATATTAACGTTGTCGTTTAAATAGGGATAAAAGCAAGATGAACAAAAGCGAACATTACGAAAGAATAATGAGACATATTTTTTCAAAAATATGTCTTATTTGATTTACTCTTTGACAAATAAATAAAAACATATATTTTGACCAAGAAATTTTATCCAACTTATATTCAAGTATTAATTGCATTTGCTCAAGTTACGCGTTTAATCCAAGAAATCGGATACGAGAAAGATTTCATCTTTATACTTTCGATATTTATTATGCCAATATAAAATAAAATATATACGGAATATATTGCGCGTCAGTTGTCATAAAGAGCACCGTCACCACCACGAAAAGACGAAACATATTTCAGAATTCATTTATTGCTGAAATCTTGATTCGTGAAAATTTCAACATTTTTCTTTCGACACTTTATGACCAGATACACAGAAAAATAAAGTGTTGTCGGTTACTAACTCTACCTTAACACTGTATCGGTATTCGATAGCGCTATATATATATATTATGATCGCGCGTGTCCCTCTGTGAATTCTTGAACAGATAAAGAATGCGCGAAACATTTGAAAATTCTTAATGGATTTCCATCGATAAATTAAATTTAAATATATCATATTTTGCATGATCGTGTATTGATAATTAACACGTTTAATTACATAAATTTATGATTAATAATAGAAATAATTCTTTCGAAAGAATACATTTATAATGACTAAACAGGCAATCATGCAACATTAACTTTACAGTAGGAAGTTTGAAAAAAGCAGTTTTTTAATTAACCAACATTTTTTATATAATTTTGTGCGGAAAAACTATATTTATGTAATTATGAATCACCTTTTTGATGAATTTTTGGGATTTTTTAAAGAACAAGAAAAATATACATAATCTTGAATATAATATATATTAAATATTTATTAATTTCAGAAATTTTTGCAATAACGATTTGTTTTGTTAAATTTGGAATAATATTAATATGAATATTTTAACTTAAGATACTGTACAAAACTTAAAAATCTATTATATAGGACTTAATTCTATATATATATTTCTACTATACATTCTTTTAGCATATATTATGTAAATTTGAAAAAATGTAACAATATGAAATTTTGTATACAAATAATAAATCTTTAATAAGGAAATACTTTTTTATTAAAAATGTGTCATTAATTTATCGAAATAAGATAACTTTCAACACTGGAAGTAATTATATTATGATGATAACTTCAATTACATTATAAAATTAACGTGTAATAAGATAACATATATAATAAGATAAACACATTATAGAATAAAAATTTGTAATTTTTTAATGTAATTTTATTATTAGTTCCTTGTATCAAATTCGTCCTGATTTATAAAGTTTGATACCGAATTGATATATTTCAAACATATATAGCATGCATATATAAACATATATTGTAATTAGCATTTCATAATAATAATAACGATGTAATGTTTATAATCAATTTGTAATAATTATTTCATGTTAGCTGAAACAGCATCAGCGATAATCCGGAATAACCCAGAAATCTGGTGGATAGTGGTTATTATGTTACAATATATTTACAAAACTGTTTAATTGAAAATCGTCCATTTACGAGATAGTTCCAAGATTAATTTTACTAAATCCAGTGTAATTTTTCACATCTAATTCTTATTAAATCGAGCAAGGACAGAATGATTTTTTTAACATTATTAAAATCGAAAACTCTTATGTATTGCACGAATAACTTTCTATTTAAGATTTATCGTTCTATGGATGCAACCACATTTACATAATTTTAGGATCTCAGAAAATCGATTGCGATCACAATGAAATAGGTTAATTTTTTAAATTCAATATTTATTATACTGATTTTACTATTTTTATTTTTGAAAAATTTTCCTCCCCCTTTTTTTTCCCCCT